CACACACACGTACATGTGTGGATATATGTGTATATATATATGTATATGTATATGTATATATATATATATATAATTTATATATATTACATATATATTATATATATATATATATATATATATTATATTAATATATATATATATATATATATGTATTTACATTTGTTCATACATAATATATATATATATATAATATATATATATATATATATATATATATATATATTATGTATATATTAATCTTTACGAATTATAACAATAGAGAGATAACATGTTGCTTTAACCATATCAAGAAACAGATTTCTCTAAATATTTATTGTATTATGTAATAGGATAACAAACTGAAGCCACGTTTCCAAGTTCTTATTTTTACTAAAAGGCTGTTCGTGATGAAACATTGTAATCAGAAATTAATTCCTCTCTTAAATTGCCGTGAATACGAAATGTCAAAAATATGCGTATATTCTTACTGTCCATCTTTGAAAAATAAGACATTTCTCTCCATTTTAAACCCGGGTTAGTTATACATTCTCACCCATTAATTCCTTCATCACCCGACACCCAACTAACATTAGTTTCTTCTTCCTTTTCTCTTGATTTAGCATTAGTATTTCCTTCTTTCTCTTAATAATTCTCCACACAAACAACGGCTGAAGTCAACATTTTTTTCCATGTCGCGGAACACCGTTTTCGAAGGACTCCTACTAGTCCTTGAAGTCCGTCACCGTCCTCGTCCGACAACTGAGGCGCGTCCAGAGTGCCGCCGTCCACCTGCGCCATGAAGTCCTGCAGTAGGCACTGTAGCTTGGTCTTCAGCTCCGTCGCTCGAGTATCGCTGAGAGCCGTGAGATCGTGAGCGCCTAGTGATCTTGATTCTCGTGGGGATGCTTCCGATGTTGTTTCGTCTATGCTGTGCGGCTGAAGGGCCTTCGATGTGGATGCGCGCGGAGTAAGAGCTGCATAGTTAGCCTGTGGGTCGTCGGAAGGACTCGAGGTTGGCAGGGTGGCGTTGGCCAGAGCCAACAGGCGATGCGCAAGGCGATACACTGCGCGGTATCGTAGGCTCTCCGCGTCCTCTTCCACCGCGACCTAAGAGAGGACAAATTGATACTAACATTCCTTCCATGTATAGAGGTTCATCCTTAAATTCGTTCTAGGAAAACTATTTTTTCCGCTGGCAAAAATGTGATAAATGAATCATGAAAAAGTCAATTTTTATAGCTAACAAAACGTGTAGAAGCAAAGATATTAAAACTGCTTTTAGGAAAATTACAACTCTGACTGAATGCATGTGAAAACAATCTCTCTGCTTTTACGGACTTAAGGGGCCCTCACACGATCAATTTTTTCGTCAATTAATTTATATCAATTTATTGACGTCAATGAATTGATGGAGAAATTGACCGTCCAATTTAATTGAAACAATGTCATTGAGTCAATTCATTGATAGATCAAAACTCCTTTGATATTTATTGATGGGTCTTCAATAAAATTGAGCGTGTGTGGGCAAAGCGTCAATATTGATCAATAATTTAGTGTTTTCCCTTGCAGCAATCTTGTATGTCCTTGTTCCCTTCGACAGAGATACCATTTCTTTACCCACTTACTCCTCTTCTTTAGCTTTGGAGTGTCCAGCTTTGAAGAGCAAGCACTACTCCAAGTGCCACAGATGCTTTCATCTCGAAATTATGAATCAAACTGAAAATTGAAGTAAAATCATTGACCGTGTGAGGGTACAGTGATTTCATTCATTGACGTCAATAAATTGATATCAATTAATTGACGAAAAAATTGATCTTGTGAGGGCCCCTTAACTCCTTCCCCACTAGATCATAAAGTCTCAAATCCCGAATACGAGAGAAAACATTATCGCAAAGCATCATCTTTGGCTCGTCAAACATCCTCTAATTTATCTACTATACGCGCTACTTTCCTCTTACCTGCGTCGGAGGTGCCATGACGCTTGCGAGGTGTCGGGATCGCTGCAGCACCGAAGGGGGCATGGCCGTGACTGCGGCGAGGGCGAGGCCGTAGTGGGTGGCCTGGGTGACCCCCCGACGGACGACGTGGCTCAGGCGTAGCAGACCGCCCCCTTCGTCCTCGCTCTCAAGGTGGTAGCTGTAGCAGAGGAAGGCGAGAGTGTGTCAGAGACCATTTCAACGTGCAGTCATTTTCACAAAAAATACGCAAAGCATTTGATGGATTATGATACAGGGATAAATGTCACTGGGATTATGATTTACAACAATTGTGATAACGCGAATGGAATGCATCCGGACTGTTTATCAGCTAAAAGTTTCTGGATAAGATACTACCCGCTTTGTTTATGTATGTATATATACATACATACATTTATATATATACACACACACACACACACACACACATATATATATATATATATATATATATATATATATATATATATATACATACACACACACACACACACACACACACAAACACACACACACACAAACACATAAATACACACACATACACACCACACACACACACACACACACACACACACAACACACACACACACACACAATATATATATATATATATATATATATATATATATATATACATACATTCATACATATATATGTTATATATACGTATATAGATACACACACACACATATATATATGTGTGTGTGTGTGTGTGTGATATACATATATACATATCTATCTATCTATCTATCTATCTATCTATCTATATGTATATATATACATATTATACATATATACATATATACATATACATATATCATATATTATATATATATATATATATATAATATATATATTATATACATATATATAATATATATATGTATATATATATATATATACAGGTTTTCTTCCATATATATTAAAATTTTCAAGATAATAACTGATCCAAGCCTTCATATTCCGAACCATCTGTCGTTCATATCAGAATAATTCTGTATTTTGGAATGAATTGCCTGGGTGTTTTATTCTTGCCAGTGCCACAGATCGTCCTTTCCCGAAGCCCCACTGCGACCTGTTGCGCTCCTATAAAATATGACAAAATTATAATAGAAAAAGAAACATATTTTCTAACCCACGCCCACCATCCTCACTCACTTCACGACCGTCGGGTAGAGGTACGGGAGCTTGGTAAGGAAGAGGGCGTGAGTAGCGAGCACGGTGGTGGCGCGGGCGTGCACGAGGGTCTCCATGACGGCCCAGGCGAGGGATCCTCCTTCCTCGACGCTCGTGCCTGACCCGAGTTCGTCCAGTAGCACGAGGGAGTCGCTCCTGCCCCGTCCACCATGTGCGCCACGTCACTCATCTGCGGGCCGAAGACGAAGCTGGATGACTGTGTAGGTGTAGGAGACCTGCAATGTTGTGTGTGGCGAAGCTTTATATGTAGAATCAGTACATTATAAAGACAGTAGAGGTGGTGTGGAACTTTAAATACATAATCAATACAACGGAAAGACCATAGAGATGACGGAGAAACGTTTTATGCACAGCAATTGCATCATATGGACTGTAGAGGTAATAGGGATGGAGGAGCGTGGTGGGAAAGAGAGGAGGAAAGACGACGAGGGAGGATGGCTATGGAGTAAAGGGCAGTGGTCGAGGATAAAGGGAGGCCTTGGAGATCTCAGACGAGTGCGAGTAAGTGACACAGAAGAAAGGTGGTGTTAGAGGGGCAGACGTTTAGGTAAAAAGAACCAGATCAGTTTTCAAAAGACTCCTGTAAAGCACAGATTTCAGTCAAAAGTCGAAACGTCGACAAGCTTATCGTTGTCACAAGGCAAATCAAATCGTCTTTTATAACCTACCGCCTTTCTTAACTCACCTGTACTTGGAAGGTAGAGGCATTGTTTTCTGGAGAATCCTCGGAACCTAAATGAGTGAACAGATGACGCACTACGCGGAGAGACGCGAATTCTGCTGGCACAAAACTGCCAATCTGGAAGGAGCGAAAAGTTATTTTATATCCGATTGTCCATTTATTTACTCCCTATCTGTCAGTAACTATTACCCGTTTGACTGCGTGTTCGCTTGTAACTTAAAAATTACAATCAGCTGAACTTTTATAATAAGGAGTGATTTAATAAGAAAAACAAGGTATACATTTGTAAAACTACATACCTGGGATAAGATAATACACTGAGTTGCATATAGCCTGAAAGGTAAACAATAAGTGAAAGTACATATATACTCGCAATCATACAGACCCAAGGCAACGCCAGAAAACATGCATGGATACCCAGCACTCTACTACACACAAACCTGAGCCAGCACTTGAATGAGGGCAATCTGCCGCAGGTAGGTGCTCTTGCCGCTCATATTAGGTCCTGTCACCACCATTACCCGGCTCTCTGGGCTTAAGAACTGGGAAAGAAAATGAGGTATTTATTAATGTAAACAACATAGTGGTAAACCTCTTTGCTTACATTGCAATTGGAATTATTCAATAAATCTGTGTAACTAAGTTAGAAATTACGGCAGGATGATATAATAATTTTGTTTCAAACATGTGTATTGCTGTTACTACTGACACCCCAAATTCAGGTAACAACATTCCAGTAACTATTAACAATCTAACATTTATGTTATGGTTGCTAAGGCCAGCCCAAAACGGTTACTACCACTATCGTCATTCTGATCATTCCGATGTCTATCAAGGTAACCATTATCCCAGCATATACTATTAACCACGTAAATACACCGCTGTCGTGGGGCTCTTACCGTGTTGTTGGGGACGGGCGGGGTAGGCGCGAGCACGTCTAGGATCGGGTGCCTGCCACAGCGAATGGCAAGGGCGCGGGAGAACTCGGGTCTGACCCAGGACCCGAGGGCGGCCGAGTGGGCGAGGGACACCACCAGATCCAAAGTGGCTATGGCCTCTCCAAGTCCATGCAGCGCACCCATACGCCCGCGCGCCTCTATCAGCATCTCAGACACGATCCTGCGAAGGCGGTGTGGGAACGTGAAAGATGGAACTCAGGGAAAGAACTAGATGATTGAATATTAAAGGAGTGAGAGTGAACTGAATGTGAAAACAGAAAATGTAGGTTCTTAATATGATATGACTAATGCTTCTCACGAATCTACTGAAACTTTAAAAGCTATTATTAAGAACATAATTCATATGACACCTCTCCTTGCCACTTCGCATGCATTTTTGCTGTGCGTTATGTGAATTTAGTAGAACAATAGTAAAGTAACTAAATCAACAGAGGGAATAAAGTTATCTAGAGCCATCAACAGGAGACTAAGTTGTCACCTTCAACCACCTACATAACTCATAAAATAAGTACTTTTTGCGAGTCCTTACACATTACTCATGATGAGTATCTCCCTGAGGGTATCACGGGATCGTTGGTCGAGCAAATACAGATGTTCTGTCGTGCAAGTGATGCATCCTCGACCTCGCTGCACCTAAGGGGAGGTGACGATTGAACATTTTATGAAAAATATAGCATGTTATGGCATGGCCAAAGATGATATTACCTTTCACTTTCTGTCAGTGCCATCCGTCCTTTAGGAAAAAAACAATACGAACGTGTGTTGGCCACGTATATCAACGTATGCATGTAGAAAGCTCACCTTGATAAAAACGGAAGGCAGGTTAGGCGCTGATTTCCTCTTCGGCACCGGGATGGCGATATGAAACCCGCGGGCGGCGTTGTGGCCAACCCTCATGCCCACGTTGTGGTCTTTGGCGAGCTCCTCTACGTGGGCTGCGTCGGACAGATTGTAAAGAGCAATAGTATTTAGATGAATAGCCTTTCGCGACGCCCACACGATAGCCCACTAACTGCGCTTGTAAATACTGCTTTTAACGACCGAGATTCAGATGCACATGGGAAATGATGGCTTTAGGACAGGAGTGCGAGGAGGGAGAAGGATCCACTTGGGGAGCGCGATGTGAGGAAATTTCTAGCAAAATGATGACCTGTTGGCCAGCACGAATTGAAATCTGGTAAAAAAAAAAATCTGTGATCATTTATGTATCATAGTAAGAATTTGAATATTTTCATGACCATCTTTTGCAATTGAAAGCGTCATTGTCTCTATCTTTCCTGTTCTCTCTCTCTCTCTCTCTTTTTTCTCTTCTTTCTCTTTCTTCCTCTCTCCTTCCTTTCTCCCCCTTCTCCTCCTCCCTCCTCTCTCTCTCCTTCTTCCTCTCTTCTCTCCTTCTCCCTCCCTTCCTCCTCCCTCTCTCTCTCCTTCCTTTCCTTCCCCCTTCGCTCTCCCTCTCCTTCTCCTCCCCGTTGGCCTATTTCAGTCCCTCCCGCTCACCCGTGATGTCGATGATCTCCGAGTAGATCTTGCGAGCGACGTCTAGGAGGCCGTTGACGTGGCTCTTGATGGCGTAGCAGCGCTGGGCTCTCATGGCGGCGGCGCCCTTGACCAGTCGGGCGTCCTCGTGCATCACGCCCCGAAGCGTCTCCAGTAACTCCTGCAGATCAGCTCTCGACACGCTCTGGGCTCAGCGAGGTGATAAATCGTGGAGTCAGAAATTCGAAAATTATCTCTTTTTATCAACTTTTCGTTCATTTCTTTCACTGTTTTACTCTTTTTTGTCTTTCTTTCATGATTCTGTATCCGTTTCAGTGTCGGATAATGAATAAAGTCGACACGTACCAACGCGGCCTACAGGTTAGTCAATCGCAAATAGACTTCATCGAGGGGGAATTACCTGCCTGACGGAGTCAAGGAGCGGGTCGGTGGCGTCGGCGAGGGTGCTGGCCAAGGGGTCCAGGAGCTCCAGGGTGTTCTTCAGCGAGATTACGTAGTTCAGACGAAGCTCACAACGCTGCTCCGTGTCCTGTTTAGAGCGTGAGTTAAAAGTAGAATAAAATGAGTGCCAAGGATGCCGAATTAGACGTCGTGTAGATCCAATATTTTTACTCTTTGACTGATTCAATTCTTTTATTTTGTATTCTTGCTCAATACTTAATTCGATTTACAAAACGTGATCTAAATTGTAGGGCCAATAAACCTTTAATTCTAGCTATTTTGGGCTACTCTTACTATCCTAGAGAGAAAAAAAGATATGCTATTGTCATTACATAACACAATAAAACACACACACAACAAAAAACCCTCACCTCCTTATGAAGCTGTGCGCACATTGATAAAAGCCAATCAATGTCTGGGAACCTCCCCAAGATGCTCTGGAATGACAGTAAAACCAGTAAAAAAATGCATTTGTAAACATGTCGCACTTCAATCTAAACATCACGATTTTTCACTTTACAAGATATCCGGTCGTTCAACCGTCTTTAATTCCATGGAAACGTTTATCAACAGGTACAACAATCTTGAAATCAAACAGCATGATACATAAAACAATTTTTACCTGAAGCGTGTAGAAGAGGTCGGGGTTGTCAACCAGGTACTGAAGGGCATTTAGACGCGCATTAATGGTTGGGACGTCTGCGTGGGGCTGGAATTCAGGAGTAAAGGTCAGGACTACATATCGCACTCGAAGAACTAAATATTAGAGGCTATACTTAGGTTTTTATTCTGTATTCCTTATGGGTACGTGATAACCTGTGGTAAAGGGCATACAGGAATAAATAGAAGAAAGGAAAAGGTGCCTTTTCTAAGCCCTCTGGGGTTTTTAGTCTCGGCTACATACACGCACACACACACTCTCTCTCTCTCACACATACACACACACACAAACTCACGCACGCACGCACGCACACTCACACACAACACACACACACACACACAACACACACACACACACACACACACACACACACACACACACACACACACACACACACACACACACACACAACACACACACACACACAACACACACACACACACACACACACACACACACCACACACACACACACACCTGCAGCAGGGAGGCACGCAGCAGGCGAGTTCCTCCAGGAGTCCGAGTGTGGCGAAGGGCGCCGAAGAGCGAGTCCTCCCAGCTGCCTCGGAGACTCCGGACCAACTCAAGCTTTCGGCAAGTGGAGTGTTCTGTTGGGAATTATTTTATTATTTCATTTTATTAGAGTTCACAGTTCATGGATGCGGGCATGAAAATCAAGATATATTGAAGATGTGTTTTATTATGTTAAATTCAGCCCGTCATTTATCTGACAGCACATAGTGAATACAAACACAGGATTTTTGGATTGCTTACCAATGTTCATGGTGTTTTCAGAGGAGGAAAGCTCCACATGGAGGGTGTGTGGAGCATACGTCACATGTTGGATGCATTCTATGTACTTCATGAGGGCGGCCACTGTGGCTAGACAGTAGTACCTGCAATATTAGGACGCCTTAACACCCAGAAAGACTTTATCTCTTGTGTTTAGTCCATTAGAGATATTCTAGGTATTTTATATTATTTGATAACACATTCTAGATCACTTAATCTACATTAGGAGAGAAGAGCGAAGGGGAAGATCACACACATACACACACACAAACACATACATTCACCCCCCCCACACACACACACATACACGGTGATAAGGGAAGGGTAAAGGCCAGAGAGAAAATGAATTCCAGGAGAACTTATTCGCTTCCTCCCCTGCGCCGGACCCTCCACGGGACTCACTTCGTCGCCAGATGCCTCTCGACGTAGGCGCAGTGGGGCGCGGCGAGGTGCTTGACGATAGCGAGGCCGCGAGTGTCCTTGAAGTAGCGACGGTGGATGGCCGTGATGGAGACCTCTGCCAAGCTCTCCTGAAGGACTCGAACCAAACCGCTGCGCCCGCCCACGCCTGCAGCCCCGTCCACCGCCGTGCTCGCTATCACTACCTAAAGAAAGTCGTTGAAGTCTTGGGACGTGGGGTGCAGAGGGTGTGATATGGAAAAAGCTATGATGATATGAGTGTGTGTGTGTGTGTCTGCGCGCGAGTGTGTGTGTGTCTGTGTGTGTAGATATGATAAACGGATGTGGATTTAATACCTCAAGGACCAGATGTGGATACCTGACGGACCAGAAACAAAACGGGGAGACTTACCTCCAGGGGATTCAACACAATCAGTTTAGTGAGAGTCCTCGTGTAGGTGTGAGTGTCCGAGAACTGAGCGAGGGACAGGTGTGGGCGTCGCAGATCTATCGCCGCCACGCCCACCTCTCCGCGGGCCTGCCCTCGGCCTTCTGCCACCGCTGATAGAGAAATCAATATAACATATTGGTATTCCATACACGCGGCCACGAGTTTGTATATATATGCATGTATATACATATTTATATACATAAAAAAACATTTATATATATATATATATATATATATATATATATATATATATATATATATATACATATACATATATATATACATATACATATATGTTTGCGTTTGGGTGTGTGAGTTTGTTTGTTTGTGTTGTGTGTGTGTGTGTGTGTGTGTGTGTGTGTGTGTGTGTGTGTGTGTGTGTGTGTGTGTGTGTGTGTGTGTGTGTGTGTGTGTGTGTGTGTGTATGTGTATGTATATGAATACACACACACACACACACACACACACACACACACACACACACACACAGATAAATAGATAGACGGATCAACGGTAAGAGAAACGATGCAAGTCAATCCTTAATCGCGGAGGAGACGCCATTCCCCGGCGCCCGAAGGCCGTGCTCTCACCCACGACGGTCGACGGCGGGACGGCTCGGGCGCGGGCAGAGGGCGCCGAGGAGCGGGCGGATCCGGGCGTCCACGAGTAGCGCGCTGAGCCGAGCGTCGTCGTCCGCCCCGTGGAAGGCGTTCTGGAGCGCCCGGTGGAGGAGGCGTCCTTCGAACCCGTCCAGGAGGGGGTCCTTTTCCGCCCACGTCCAGGGTAGTTGTTCCTCGATGCCCACCCGTGCCCATCGTTCCTCGGAGTCTTAAAGAGGCTAGAGTGGTCCTTGGACGCCCCGGATGCCTCGCCCTCGCCACTCGCAGAGGATGACCTCGAAGTCCTGCAGGAGGCGACGGCAGAAAGCTCAGCTGACGCAGACCAAGACTCCCTCGTCCCTCTGGCGCGCTGCGGGCCCGAGGAGCAGCTGGCGCGGGAGGGCTGGGTCAGGGAGAGCGACGTCCCTGAGGACAGCAGGTGGGCAGGGTGGGGCGGGGTGAAGTCGAAGATGGGCGTCGAGTGGGCGGGAGCTCCGCGAACTGAGGGTCTGCGCGGGACGGAAATATATAACTCATTAATAATGATCAAGAGGATAATGAATATGAATGATGAATATAATGAATAGAAATCCATATGGAGGTTAGGATGGCAAAAAATAAATCATCTGTAATATATATATATATATATATATATATATATATATATAATATATATATATATATATATATATATATATATATATATATATATATATATATATATATATATATATATATATATATATATATATATATATATATATATATATATATATATATATATATATATATATATATATATATATATATATATATATATACATAACAAAATAGCGAAAGAAACTAATAACCTAAACAACTGATACTGATTTGACAATGTAAATGAAAATAGTCAAAACACGTAGCTATCATAAAGCAACACTATAAAGCAATACTTGATTAGCTTAATGTCTCATTCTCTTGCTGTGAACAAATATAAAAAATAATGCATTTGAAGGAGGAACTCAATATATAATATTATATATATATATAATATATATATATATATATATATATATATATATTATATATAAAGGACATTAAACGTTAATTTTATCCCCTACCCCTTAAAACCAAAGAAAGGAAAGGAAGAAAGAAAAAATATATATATGTACTCAAACAAACCCATTCTTTTGGCCCGACGAGTCAGTTAAATCCATAAAAAATATAGGCCTATGCCGATTTTCCTCATCATTATCCTCCTCCTTTCACATTCCTCTTCGACATGACTCAAAAGCAGCACATCACAGCCGTCACATAACATAACACCACATAACACAACATAATATAATACTATCATATAACGTATCATGTAATCACACTTAACCTGATCTGGTCCCTGCTGCTCTCGCCTCCGTCACCACCACGCCCTCCAACCACGCCACCTGCAGGGAGGAAAAACACATGATTATGAAGATTATTAAACTTCGATTGAAGAGAATTTAATAAATGATAATTATTAAGATTAGATCGAGACGGTTAAAGACAAGGTTTATCAGATTACATAGAGAACTCTAACGGTCAGTGATACTAAATATTATTGAAAGCATTAATGGTAGCTAGCGAGAGAGATGATTATTTTTATTAACATATAGTAAAAACCAACAACATCACACCACCACACCCACACACACACACACACACACACAACACACACACACACACACACACACATGCATGTAAAAGCACACACAAATACACGCACTCACTACACTCTCTCTCTCTCTCTCTCTCTCTCTCTCTCTCTCTCTCTCTCTCTCTCTCTCTCTCTCTCTCTCTCTCTCTCTCTCTCTCTCTCTCTCTCTCTCTCTCTCTCTCTCTCTCTCTCTCACACACACACACACACACACACACACACACACACACACACACACACACACACACACACACACACACACACACACACACACACACACACACACACACACACACACACACACACACACACACATATACACTTGATTAACTGACCGTGACCCAAGATGCCATCATGGAGGTCCACTTCTTGATCGGAATTTTCCACTTCACTGCAAGAGTAGATATCTGGGCAGATTTGGAATATATTAAAATTTAAAAAGGCAGGGTTTAGTGCATATAGTTATTTATTTGGTTGAATACTTAAGGTAATGTGTTAAGAAATACGTGGTTCTGTCAAGAAAAGAAAATAGGAAATGAAAAAATAAAGAAATGAAATGTTTTGATAGATTTATAATTTGCAATGCATTCTTTTCATATTTACGTTTCTGGACTTTAAAATGTTGATTTATGCAGATTTAGATCTGTCAACTATGTGTATGATGTATTACTCTAATCGTATACCAAAACTGATACGGCATAAACAAAATGCATTATAAAACGAAATCTACGAACTCTCACGTATAAGAAAAATAAATAATCTTCGAAAATTCTCTAATTCTCTTTCCTTTCTGATTAACCTAATTCACTTAAACCTACGCAAATCTAGAGCACATAAGAACAGACGCACAACTTTTCAGACAATTGACTGACCATATTTGGGTGTTTTTGCAAGAGATAAGGGAACAAATGCCATTATTCCAGAGGCCGGAAGTCGCTGCTCGCGCGCGGCCACGGCAACCCCGGCCAAGAAATCACGTCACGTTCGTTTCTAATTATTTTTTCTTCTTTTAGATTTATTGTATTTGTTTTTTAATCAATAAAGATATGTATTTTTTCAGTCGTTTTGTGTTTTATAATGATTTCATTAGTGATATGAGCGCACATCTTAACTGAGCAAGATAAACATCTCAGATTATATCCAATAGACATCGTTATATAAGTGGCGTAGATATGAAATTTGACAGGAGGGGCAATATTCATAGAATTTCCGATAAAACAATAGATTAGTTCCATCGTTCAATGCTGAGAGAAAACGAAAGACTATCTGTAGAGTATACGCTGCACTGATCGAAAACAGCTCTCCTTATGAAAACAAACTTCTCATAACCTCAAAAGTTTTTAAAAAAGAGAAAAGTTAAAGTAGTAAAAATGATATGACTAGGGAAAAGAGAATTGTGCGATATTTCGTTAAATCTGCTAAAATGAAAAAAAGCACATCAAAATATTAAAACACAATGACATCACATTTTTCCGACAAGGAATGAAAATTTCAGATAACCGCCGTCCCTGCCTCCTCTATTTACGCCATTGCATCGTATTATATATGTTAGAATTAAGTTGTAAAACTAAGATTATATTCTAATTATATGCTTCCCTCCTACTCTGTCTATAGGCATCTTTTCCGGTGGCAATTAGGGTGTCGCGAAACGCTCCGCTACACCTATCACGAGACACATAGGCGAGACAGGCCTCTAACTACGTCCATTTCTGTGACGTAATGGGAATGATCGCGGTTGACGGCTTGCTATTTTACTGTACTGGTTATTTTTCCATGTAAACAGTATTTTGGAATATGATATCCAAGATGGCTTTTGATATCTTATGGTGGGTAGTGCGGTGTTATAGATATCTAATGTAAGTACGAATATGCATGAAATATCCAAAGTAGGAGGAATGCATCTAGCAACTTATTTAAAGTTAACCGTCTGCTCGATTTCTGTCGCGCAAGAGATGTCGCGTTTCCCGTATTATTTATTTTTCTGTCAATCAGCCAATGGATCTATCTAGCTATGTATTCATCCATCTAGGAATGTGCACACACACACATATATGATATGATATGATATATATATATATATATATATATATATATATATAATATATATTATATATATATATATACTTATCCATATAGTTGCCTACACACACACACAGTCACACACACACACACACACACACACACACACACACACACACACACACACACACACACACACACACACACACACACACACACACACACATATATATATATATATATATATATATAATATATATATATATATATATATATATATATGTATGTATGTATGTACCTATATATCATACATATACACATAAATATATATATTCATATAATTGTGTATGCATATATATTTTTCAACACGCACACACACACACACACACACGCACACACACACAGTCACACACACACACACACACACACACACAACACACACACACACACACACACACACATATGTATATATATATGTATATATATATATATATATATATATATATATATATGTGTGTGTGTGTGTGTGTATGTATATATGTATATCACCCACTTTCACACACGCATACGCATATATATATATATATATATATATATATATATATATATATATATATATATATAGGTAGATAGATAGATAGATAGATAGATAGATAGATAGATAGATAGATAGATAGATAGATAGATAGATAGATAGATAGATAGATAGATAGATAAATAGATAGATAGATAGATATGTACATGCATACATAGTATACATACAAATGTACACACACACACACACACACACAGTCACTGCGGGTGACCACTGCTTCGTGAAGTAGTAGGCACGTGTGTGCGCGCGGGAGAGTGAGTGGGTTTGGCTTGTGTTTATGGATGTGTACTTGTATGATCGAGGTATGTATGTGTTTATGTGTCACAATGTGCTTGTGCGTGTGTGCGTGTTTAGTTTAGTTTGTGTGTGTGTCACAGTGTGCTTGCGCGTGTGTGCGTGTTTAGTTTAGTTTGTGTGTGTGTCACAATGTGCTTGCGCGTGTTGGTGTGTGTGAGTGTGTGTGTATATGTGCGCGCGCACGTGTGTGTGTGTATGTGTGTGTAAGTGTATCACAGAGTGTCAGTGTGTGTGTATTCAATGGGTATGCGTGTGTATATGTACTGCATCAACTTTGATTAGAGTTTGTTCAATAAGTAGTTCACAGCGTCATAGAGCAGTCGCTGTACTGTCATTGTCTGAATGTCTTCAGAGTGCCACAACGTGTGTGAGACCATTTCAGTCTATTGTCCCCATAATAATGGCCACGGGGGAAAAAGTTGGCAGTCTTTCTTTAGCTTAGGAATTTAAGATTTGAAACCATGAGAGATATTTCAAACCATGTAGGCCATAAGGTTAAAAGTATATAGCAGGCAAGTGATTAAAGAGAGGATAAATCCAATTTAGAGTAATTATGAGATTAGTAGATTTGTGATTATTAGATTTTTCCTAAGTGCCAGAGGGGCATTGTCTGACAAAATACACTGCTAAGCCATTATTTCCATATTAATTATTCAAATTATATATATATATATAATATATATATATATATATATATATATATATATATATATATATATATATAGTATATATATATATATATATATATATATATATATATATATATATATATATATATATATATATATATATATATATATATATATATATATATATTACATATATATATATATATATATATATAATATATATATATATATATATATATATATATATATATATATATATATTATATATATATATATATATATATATATATATATATATATGTATATATATATATATATATATATATATATATATATATATATATATATATATATATAATTTATATATATAATATATAATATATATATATATATTATATATATATATATATATATATATATATATATATATATATAACAAACATACACACACACGCACAAGCACGCACGCACATACGAACATACACATAGTTTATGGTGCATCCACAGACATTACAGACATCCACACACAAATAATTTCCTACTCTATTATTTGATCATCATTTGCATCCATCTTTTCTGCTAATGGCTGTGCTAATCAGTGTTCTCTGAAAATATCTACATAAAGATAAAATACACTCAAACAAAACTGGCTTTAAATTATGCACTGGTTTCAGTCTTGTATACTGGATTAAGTATCTTTACTTAATTCATTATTGATTATTGATCTTCACTAAATGTTCAAAATAATATTTTAGTGAACAATTTATGAATAATATTGAAAGGTAGATGTAGAGTACTGATTTGGTGCATCTTTTTCTGCTTGTTAGAAGTTTGCTGTACACTGGAAAAAGATGAGATAAATTGTTTCTGTACAATTATATCTTATAAAAACTTTTGACAAGCATTCTTAAGAACTCTCAAATTTTGTGTATTTGGGATATGGTGCCACAATAATGGCTAGTTGATGTATAGGAATCCTTCTAATTCTGGAATTTGAACCAATGTTTCCCTGTGCCTTGCTTCTTAAATTTGCCATGTGTATGTAGATTGAAGTCTGTTCTTTAGATAGACTTTGTATAGTTAAGAAAGACTCAGTTACAATCAAAGCAATAGACTGATGAAAAAGAACAACAGGAAAGGTAGACACAGACATTGTTAAAAATTTATTCATTCAATCGGTATACACTTTCAAGACAGTCGTTATATCTAGTATTATGCAGTCATCAATAAAAAGTATTTTTCCTGAAATGTTATTGTACTTCAAATGAAAAGCATTCATTATTTCATACCCATAAGCACTCTATATTCCTGTATATTCAAAGCTTAGGAAGACAATGTACTTGTACATTTAACACAGTCAATTCATTTTAAATATTATGCTCTGGAGTAACTTTCAATTGTCAATTCTCATCTTGAACACAAAGCAAAAACAAGGAACTGTAAAATAGAAGAAAGTTGACTTTTATAGAAGAAAACCTGTACTATATGGTAAAACAATGTTTCATGAAAATAAAAAAGTTAAAACCAAGCTGTCCTTCCTATGAACAAACTGTACAATGAAACCCAAGTCATTAGCATCAAGAAATATACTAAATATACATATTCACAGTATATCATAATGTTAACTGGAATGGAGTTAATGCATTATATTCAACTGAGAATGACCAAATGTACCTCTAAAATTACTGGACTTTTTATTTCAAAATAAGCAATGCAGAGGAAGGCAAAAAAACACAGAAAAAAGTACCTGATACCTTGTCTAAACCCACACAATGCATAAAATAATTAAGTCCCCACCAACATAGTCAATAATGCAATAAAATTCTACATACTGCAAATATCTGAAGGTGAAAAGAAAACACGGAAACTTTCACAGTGTAAGCCTGGTTGCTGTAAACAACGTGCCACATGACTGTAAAATGTAATATGTTCAACTTACAAAGAGGAAGTTACAAAATATACAACTTAAATGACTCTTTTTGAGAGAAATAAATATCTATGAAAAGTAAACACAAGTGAAATTTCTTGAAAAAATCTTAAATGAAAAGGTGTTTATTATAAATATTTATAGTAAATAGAGCCAAATCTGATGAATCCCCTAATTCTTTGAGGAAAAGACAGAATCATGAAGAGACTATAAAAACAAAACATTATGACAATATACAAGATAATATACAATTCAACTTTTGCTATGGTATTTCAGCAAAAATCCCTACTTTTACCAGCGTAAACATTCAAATTAAATAAGAAAGTGGACTGGATGTGCCTTATTACTAAATACTTTATGAAAGAGTGGTCTGCCTTGTCGAGCCTGTGCTCCTTGTTTCAGATGCAAAGACGGTTGGGAAGCCACTCGTCTTAATGTGCCCTTGCATGGTGGGAATCCAGACATTAAAGGGGCCTGTTTGCCTCTTAAATGTGCTTTGTGTGGAGATGCAAGATTAAGGGTTTCCCTCAATCTTCGAACTCTCATCTGATCCTCTGGTGGAGTACTTCTTTTAGATGATGGGTCATCCATGAGTGATGAGTGAATTATTTCTTCATTACACCTTTCGTCAATACCAGCCTTTTTGAGGAGCAATAAATCACAGTAGTAGTAGTATTAAGCCATGAAATTATTAACAACATTTCATTGAAGTTTTTATTTTTCAAACACAAATGGGGATATTGGACATTATTTACAATCAGTTTTCATAACATATAAAAAAGTTTTCCATTGCGATAGAATAAAGATAATAATGATAATAAAAAAATAATAAATAAATAAAAAATAAAAAAATCAGTCACTCAGCTTGAAACATGACACCAACACACCTTTAGGACCCAGACAGACACGAAGACAGTTAGTGGTTAAAGCATAGACAAAAGCTATAAGAATGACCTTTCTGCTTCTGAACTAGCCTGGTCAAGAGTTGTACTGTTGAGACATTCTCTGCTACTTCTTAAGTTGTCCTGCAAACATAATGTACTTACTAAAAATTCATAATTTCTGTGATGGAATAAGTTACCTCAACTGTTTTCTTTTAAAGTGAACATAGATATACATTTTCATTCAGGGAGCTTATAGGCAATTATGAGTTAAGTTTCTTTTGGACGTAAAGCAAAGCACATCAATTAAAATTATATACATGTGTACTTTCCATAGCTGCACAAATATTCATGATTATGTATATCACTGGAGATTAGTACATGATTTATGACAAAGCCATTATTTATTTGAAAAGATTAGAGAGGAAAAGCAAAAGGGAAAATACAATTTATATATTTACAAAGTTCTGAAATCACTCAACCCAGGTTCACAAGTGATGTTTATTGGCAGAAGAAACAAGAAGGAAAGAGGAATGAAACAGCATTGATCTTTGCAGGGGAGGAGACTACCAAGAAAAAAGTGGAAAGAGTAATTCAAGATAAAATGAAATATGAGTAAGACTAATGTAAAAAGACTAGAAGCAATAAATATAAAAATTATACACACGCAACACAAGTACAACTTAGTTTCAACTTACTTCAAACTTATCATATGAGATGGTGGAATGTAGACTTGTGTCACTGGATGAAATTGGTGGTGGACAGAGCAGGGCATTGCGCTCTGTAAGTGGTCTGGTTCTGGGAGTCTGTCAGTTGGAAAAATATCTTTCTTTGGTATGTTCTTTGTAGTAATTGATGAGTAATATCTGATAAATAATCTACACCTAACAGGAGACTAGCATTTACAAAATGATTTGGAATAAGTTAAACAAAATACACTGAAAAATATCAAAAGAACCTACTTTAACAGGATTGTGTCCATATAAATTTTACATCGTAAACCCATATTCTACTGTAAAAGGTAGTGATGAAAGAGAATATTAAGTTGCATATACTGTACATTATCATGTTTAAGTGTAGTTACATCATGGATGAAGATATAAATATATATATTATAATCATTACATATTTTCTGAGTAACATCCATTACACTCCAGAATAAAAAGACAGACACTAATCATCAGTTACAGTTTTGAAAAAATATAGAAAGGCATATACAATAATATCTGAAGAGAAAAGCATGGCATTACAGATTCATGGACTTCCCAGGTCTAATGTTAACTACCTTTGTAGGTGAGCGAAGAGTTGATTTTGAAGGTGACTTGAACAGTGATACACCCGGCTTCATCTTCTTTGTGCTTGCTGTATCTTCACCTTCACGACATCTTTTCTTAGTATTTGTGAGTGCAGCTGGAGTTTTGGGATTATGTAAACCTGGGCGTTTAACCTCCTGGGCCCCTTTTACTTGCTGATGTATTAAAGAAAGGATTTTTATAATTAAAGAATATTTATAAGTATAGTGTGACAATAATTCATAGAAATATCTTTATTTTCTCTGGTGTAAAAATTAAGCAATAATCAATATAAAGTGGTTCGGAATAACAAATATTTCACTTACATGTTTACTGAAATTCCTAATGCTAGAATTAATATCAGCTAAGCTATCATGCCAAAGAAGTACAGAATATCATGGCAGTCATAAAACTTACTCTTTTATTCTTTTCTGCTTCTTTTTTCACATCATAGTTTTCCCACAGCACTCGGATATAATCTTCCAAAGGCACCCCATTAATATGGAAAGATCTTCCCTCCTGCTCAGCCCAAACTCTGCCACTTTCAAGCAAGCTTTCTTGAACTCTCGGGAGCTCCTGTAAGTCATCAAAACAAGATTTATGGTAGGAACTGTCTTGATAAAACAAGGTAAATAAATCTACACAAAGAAGTTAAGGAAGACAGTTGAAAATACTCAAAAAATACTTACAGTCCTCACTTTCTTCTTGGCCTTTTCTTCAAGCAGTAGGGCCCCACCTCTTGTGTTGAAAAGACGGCTAGGGTCCTTAGCTCGTTCCTCTAACTCCAACATGTGATTATAAAGATCCATAAACTGTGAAGCCAGTATATAAATATCCTTGTTGGCTTCATAGTGCTGTTTCCACTTATGAACTTCTTTTTCATAAGCATCTAAAACTTCTTCACTTGCATCATCTGTTTTGGTGAGTTCATATTAACAAGCAAATACAACATGCACTTTTAATTTAAGCATTAAATCATATAACTAGAGCTATAGCTAACACACATTCAGAGACTAACAGTTTTAAAGTGTGAAAGCTTAGAGATAATTAAATAGTTATAAAATAGTTATACCTGCAATAAATGCTCCTGGATTCATCCAATTCAGAATTAGTTGTTCATCAAGTACAAGGTAATTTTTCTAATGCTTTTACTAATGCAAAGAGAATAATAGTTGGAAAAATACTTGTACAAAAGAGTAAAACAAACAAGATATCTTTATTTCTTTTCTGTTACAAAAAATAAGACCAGACTATAAAGCTACAAATGATATTCAACCAAACAGAGAAAAAAAAAAAAAAAAACTTCTAACCATATATCCTTTTCATCATCAATGAAAGTCTACAAACCTGGCTGCTGATCCAGAAACTTTTTCCTTTCTTCCTCTCCAACATAGCACTTTTCCCAAGAAGTAGCTAGTTCTTCTTGAAGTTTCTCTATGAAAACAGACAAATTTTGAAGGCGTAGCAACCTGAGTCTCTCCAGCTCTTCCTCTAGCTGTTGAAGAAGAAATAAAATACTAAGCCTGAATTTAATCTCATCACTGAAGCTCTATTTTCTATACCTTTCCATAACTCTAAAGTATATCATAACAACAATACTACTGGAGTGCGTGAAAAAAAGACCTTCGCAATATTTGATGGTGTGTGCTTAGGTGCCGTGGAGAGAAAAGCTTGCTGTTCTTCTACTGGTATTTCTAACGCAATCCACAGCCAGTTGATTTTCTCACGTAGCTCCAATGATTTCACTTCATTTTCATGGACACGGAACTCAAGGTCACTGTGAACACCCTAAAAAAGAAGAAAAAATAAATAAATGGGTATTATCCTTAATTATTTATTTTGCTGTATACTGATCATGTGAACATCCTGGTGGGAGGAGTAAGGATAATGGGAAACAAAGAGTGGATGGTACACATAGAGAAGGAGAGAATGGGGTGTGTTGGGAGAGTGTAGCAGGAAGGGGGGGTAGGGCAAACTTAAGGAGGAGGAGGATGAATATCGGCAAAATATTTTAAATGTAGAGGAAATGGGAACAGAAGAATTGGGGGGTGGATGGGGGAGCAGAGTGTTCCCTTGGATTATTTTTAGGAAGTTTTGGATGTCATCAAGAGTTTCTGGGGAGGAGTTGGCTAAAGAGGTCTCAGAAACAAAGTTTCTCATGTGAGGAGGAAAACAGGGGATTAAATATCTGAGGAACAGAGAAAGAGCTGGGAGTAGGAAAGGATGTGGTAGAAGATGGAGTGGAATGTTTAGGTTGTCTGGTGAAACAGGTAAAGTGAGAAGGACTAGGCATTACGGAAGTGGTAGAGAATGGAGTATTTGGATTAAGACTGGAAAAGGAATTTGAATGGAGAAAAAGAGTAGAGCTTCGGGGTAGAGGGAAGAGATACTGGTGGAGATGCTGAGACATCTTCAGAAGGTGGGAGAGGAGCAGAGTGAAGGACAGTTTTTGAATAGGTAGAAAGAAAAACTTCTTCGTCATGCTTCCTGTATGGCACACGTAGAGTGGGGCCTAGTTTGAATTTGAGAGCTGCTACTTCACATATGAGCTTATCTGCAGGGCAGCTATTATAAAATACATTATGGGAGCAGGACTAGGTTTGCCAGTGAGGTCAGTTATGGTAGATGATATACAAGCTTGAATGAATGAAGATATTTGCCACATGGTTCAAAAACAAGTTCAAACAAAATTTATGCAATTGATTATCAGAATCATATGATACTAATGATATAAAATTACAAAGAAGAAAGAATAACTACATCTATCAATAACTGGTGTTTTATATTCAAATCTCAATTTTATTTTTCAAAGAGAAAAAGTATAACAAAGAAATCAAATTTAACCATACCCTCATCTGTTGTAAGTAGGCTTTTCCGAGGGGGAAATCGTCATCCTCAGAGCAAATAATATCTTGGCAGAAAGAATCTTCTGGTGGCTGTTCTAAAAGCTCGAGGAATTTCAGTATGCCTGCCTTCAGACTTCGAAAATTCTTCTCTCGTTCTTCCTGAAAATCAAGACAACTTTTATACATCTAACAAAATCTTTTTCTATAATGAATAACAATGGCAATGACTCCCATTTACATAACAATCCAATCAATTAATCCCTAAGGCATAGCCAAACCACCCATAATTTTTTAAATTACAAATGGTTGGTAATTTTCCAAATAATCCTACTGATAAAGAAAAACTAATCAAACAATAAATGCAAGCCAATATATTAGCCTCTCTGTTTTGCAGAACTTACAACTAGATAAATAGAGAAAAATATTTCACCAATATCATTAATAAAAGCATTCAGGGTATGTGTTGCCACTTATAAAGCATCTCTATAAACTGCTCTCTAAAACAGCTTTACCTTCTCTGTTTCCATTGTTTTCACATGATCTTCTACACTCTTTATATCTTCAAGTGATGGGATCAGGCCAGCAGGAATGTAATATGGAGTCTCACAAAGTAATTCACAGATTCCCTGGAAAATATAATACACATTAAACATAATCAACCAGCAGTCCCATTCCTAAACACTCTGTTTGCAGATAATGTGAAATAGTATGATACTTCTTTCATTACCATAACTCCCCTCTTTCTGCAGAAAAGTTGGAAACTAGTTTGTGATCCTAACCTCTAGTAAACATAATATACAACAAAATTACCAAAAAATAATTTCAATATGTCCCTGATATAAAGACTGTAAAACTGGGATTTATCTGGCCAATGAACTCGCAACTTACTTCATCTTTTTCTTGCAAAAGCCTGAGAGTGTCCATCCGCTGTTCCTTCAACTGAAGTAGGTGATCCACTCTTTCTTGAAGTAATGTGTCCAATTCCAATAATGTCATACCATCCACAGCATCCTCTGGGACTATTCCAAGACCCTACAGAAAAAAAAAGTTTGTTAGTTTTGCAGCAGTTACAAAACAGGCAGGAGGTATTCACTAAGAAAAGAAAAAAGAAAAGAAAGAAAGAAAAAAAAATGTTTTTCACAAAGCACTCATTTCCTCTTCTTACACATCTAACTTGTGTATGCCTTTATTCCGTATTCTGTTGCTCATTACCTTGCAATCCTCTTCACTTACCTCACTAAGTTTTAAGATCTCTTGAGTATTACGTTCAATGTTGTTTGTGATTCTTGTCTTTAAAGCTGTTTCATCGTCAATTATCTTTTCACACAAATTCTGAAATTTGAATAAAAGGAAAAAGCATGAAAATTCTGGAGTAAAGCTGTACCGTGACAGTTTCTAATACATCAGGCTCCTAATGACGTTAATAAATATTTACAGATCTCTTACAGGGATAAAAATAACATGAACTCTGTAAATTACACATGCAATGCATATTCCACAAAACCAAAAATAAACAGAACTGGAATCATTAAAACAGCTGCTGAAATAAAGCAGACATACACAACACAACACTGAATAAAACTAAAATGAAATTTAAATACACAATACAAGGCTTAAGAAGTAAAAAGTAAGTAAATAAACAAAAAAACTAAAACATTAAACATATTTGACACATAAAATATACAGACTTAGATGTGAACCTGGAACCAGCATTAGACTGATCATCATACTAGAAAACA